GTCTATAGCTGTCCACATTCGGTGCCCGGCCTTCTCGTGAACCACGGCGGCTCTGGTTTTCTTCCTCCAGCAAAGCAAAGGCCACACCAAGTTGCTCATCTAGTTCTCTCTGCGCCCTTTTGCTTGCAGCTCTTCTACGCATTTTTGCTCGCCTTTCTCGCTCTTGCCTTTCCAAAACCTCTTCCATGTCGTCTGACATTGAGAATGGAGAATGAAATCTAAAATCTGATAAGTGGAATCTAAAATATGAGAAATGAAGATGTATAGAAGATATGGTGTGTGAGGTATGAGCTGAGCCTCTGCTTTTATAGAAAAATTTAGGCAGATAGAGATGACACGTGGCGAAATTTTAGAGGGTGAAAATCTTATCTGAAATTTGAAATTTGAAATTTATCTGGAATTTGAATTTTGAAATGTATCTGAAATTTGAAACCGAAAATCTGATCCGATATGAATAGTATTGACACGTAGGAACCCAAAAATCTTATCCGAAAATATTATCCAAATTAGTTGTTTAAGTAAACAAAGTTGTGAAAAAAACAAAAAAATGAATAGTATTTGCCATGGCAAGCTTTACACTGCTGGAAACACAATATTTTTTTGGGGGTTTCACTAAAACACCCAAAATGGGGACTGAAATTATAAAAAAACCCAACACCCAAAACACTTTATAAACACACCCAAAATTCATCATTACACACACTCAAAACCCATTTATAAACACACCCAAAAAATATACAATTGTTGATTTTGGGTGTGTTTCTATGTTTAAATAGTGTTAGGGTTTTTTTATAAATACATGTTTAGGATTTGGTTTATTTATAAATTTGTATATTTTTTTTGTGCTAGAACAGTGACTATTCACGTGAATAGTACCCGCTCTAAGACTCCCCTTGCCATGGCAAGGGGCTAACTGGTGGAAGTGCTCTTAGAAGCTCCTCCCTCAAATTAGAACCCTAGCTCCATATGTGAAAGGGTGGGCTTCATGAGTGGCCGTGGGTGCGATGGAAGGAAAATATATATTATTCTTCTATCAAAACCAACCAACCCCGGCGAAATATCAATAAAACAGATTTTTTACCCCAAATTTTTTTTCAACAGACTTTTTTTTTTTGGTTGTGATGGAAGGGTGGTGTGGTTCTGGTCTAGAGAGAGAGAGAGAGGTCAGAGTGCATGGTGGGGTTTTGGATTGGAGAGGAATGATGATAATTTGGGTATGGCCGAAAGAGGGCTGGGGGGGGGTAGTTGGTGATGGCATTGGCGACTGGGATGGTATTAACGGGTTGGGTTTTCATCTCTTTTTTTATTTTTTATTTTTAATCATTTTAACTTTTCAATCAATTAGAATTTAGAATGTCCATTAATTATGAAAAAGATTTATCAATATTTCTTTTAAAAAAACTCCATCACTATTAATGGTTTTATAGGAAAAGTTATTTGAAAAAAAAAAGGTTATTTCTGGGAAGTATTTGTTTTAATTTTCAAATGTTTATTTAATTAAATTTTTATTAGTGTTTATTTCATATGGACGATTTTACCCCGAAATTTAACGTAAAATTGACCGGATAGAACCAATTTGATACTAAATGGAGAGTTGGAGAACTATTAAAATGAAATTTTAGTTGGTGCATTAAAATGAGACTTGAGCAAAAGTTAGGAGACCATTACAGTCAATAACCCAGAAGAAAATGACAGACTACTTTCTTGTGAACTTAACATTCATTAGCAGTACAATTAGATATATTCTCCCAAATACCAGTTCCATTTGGAGCCAAAACCATTGCAACTTCGTTAATTTCATCCCCCAAGTATACCATTATGAATCATACTACTACACTTACATCTTTCCCAGCTATGTTGCTCCTGTATCTCTCACTTGATTCAACTTCGTAAACGGCATCACGGATTTAAACAGAAATTATTTCAACTCCATCGTGTGAGATCTATCTCAATGCTCATGTTTTTAACATCATCATCATCATACTGAGGTTTTTCTATAGGTCCACATAGTCATAATAAAGCTCCGGGACGCCAACTTTGCCACTTAGATACAATTGTCTAGGAATATCGCATTTGAGACTCGATACAGCATCGTTTTGCGTCATACTTAATGAACCAGTCAATGCAAGCAAGGGTTCTAACAAAAATGTTTGATTCTCACTCTCAATACTCCTTTCTTTTTCCTTTTCTATTTCTTCCAGCAAAGCTTTACCCGTCTCAATACCTATTGATCATAAAAATCATCAAACACCAATGCCACAACACATACAAGATCACATTAGAATTTATGTTTATAATTGGAGGCCTTTAATCTCCCAAATAACTCTCAGAAGAATTGCTCACCTGCAAGGTATCCGCCATGGACATAGCCGCTATATCTCTCGCTTGTGTGTTCCCCACTGAAGAAGATGCAGCCTAATGGGGCCTGGACATAAACATAAAAGACGAAGAAACGTAATGTCAGTTCGTTACAGAGCTTTTTATTAATCTTTGATCCATTTTCTTTTCATTGATCAAGGAACTCGGTTAAAAAGATAGCAGATCAGAGAAAAAAGTACATGTCTCCATATCTGCTGCAACCCAAATCGAAAAACTTCTAAGGGGAGATACATAAACTTTAGCGAGCAATACTGTCGCTACAATTTTCTTTTACCGTTTTTCTTATATTTTTGTACACAATTTTCTTACTCCACGATGTCACATACCATGTGGATCAAAATGATAAGTGTGACAAGCCACATAAGCAATGATATCATAGAGTAAAAGATTTTGTCAAAGTTAGCAGATTCCAACTTACATTTAAGAATCTTACAGTCATCATATGCCTATAAATACATCTAAAGGCTCAGTTTATAAGTTGTAACCCCATGAGATCGTTCTCCTTGACGCAAACCAGCTATACTCTATTTAATTATCTCACTTCAGGACTTACCAAAGATGAAGGACGCTGAATATTGGTAATTAGAGCATAACGATTCAATCAATCATCTTTACGATACGCTACCAGATATGTGAAGTAAAATTTGATCTATTAATGGTGAAATAGAAGATCAAAGAGAGAAGGCAAACCTTGATGTCACGAACAACTTGGCCATTAGAGATTACTGGGTAGTTGCTATAGCTGCCTCGCTGGAACCTATTGTTCCACCACCGAGGTACAAATATATCAGTAGCTTCAGGAATGCTGGGTCCAAACATGTCCCTAAGAGCCCCCATGGCTTCTTTCAATGTTTCCTCATCAGACTGAGCTTCTACACGCTTCGATTCCTCATTCGTCAACGTCACGACCAGTATATTGGATCCAGGATATGCATTCTCCATGTGCTGATGACATGGCAACAGATTAGCAGTCAGCTTGGAGAGAATATGATGAGTTAAAGATGACCTGATAATCCAATTCTAAACTTAAAATATACTATATGTATCAATCTCACATATTTTATTTGTCATAATATAAGTTTAGAATCTTTATCCATATGTCTGTCAAATAAATAGTTTTGTAAATGAAAAAGACAGTGACATCTCACAACTAGCCACGTGTTGTCCTTAAAATATATAGATTTTTTCCTAATAAAACGAAAGAAGATGATTTTAATATAATAGAGGTTAGAGATTTGATCACAATGTACAGTATTCAAATACTAGAGCAAATGAACAATAGTTGGGATACTGATTGAGCTCAAAGCGAAACCAATATTGCCAGCTCTAAGAAAGTGACAGAGATTTCAATGCATGAAAGGAAGAACCATTCAAACTAATACTGCAAGAGACTCTTGTTTGTTGATCAGAACAAGAAAAGAAATCAATATTTATTACCATAATATTGTAAATGGTGGTAGTTACGACCTAGCTCTGAAAAACAAGCAATATAATGGACAAGGTCGTTTTCAAGTTTCAAAACTAAATACTGAGGTTATCTAAAAAGAAAGAGGTGGCGGAGTTTATGTACTAACTCATTTAGCAATTTGTATGTACCCAGACTGGGGAAGCAGACCAAAACTAAAATGACAGCTTGGTTTTACCTCATAACATGATATATATATTTTTAATACAAGCGATATTGGGGGAGGAAGGAATAGAACCTAGGACTTCGGGTGCACGGGTAAATGTTCTTAACTACTTGAGCTACATGCCCTCCCACCTATGATTTTACATATTGAAGGTTGCGTTCAAAGCTCTTGTAGTGAGCAATCCTAAATTTTAAATGTTTTTCCAAGATGCATGAACCACAACACTTGAAATGAAAATTAAAATGTTGTCATTTATCGAATTAAATTAAATAAGTAATAATGGCTTTAAAATATGACAGGCTAGTAGGAAATTCTGTGCACAACAAACTTATTGAATCTGTTGATCTGCTGGAAGCAACATGGAAATTTCATATATATGTTAGCTGGCGTCAAGAATGACAAATATATTTAACCAACCTGCCAAAATGTGTAGTAGCCTCTCCGCTCATGGGCATAGATGAAGAACTCTTTTCCCGGGCCACAAGGCCAAAACTTATAGGGGAACTTGAGAAAGATCTTTGTGTACACTATTACATCACATTTCTGTATAGCCTCAGTTTTCCACCTCTGTGACATATATCAAAAGAGACTTTGAATGAGATGGCTTTCAGTCATAGAGAGCAAACATTAACTAGTTTTGTTACGTTAAAACAAAAATTACATCCTTGTCAAGTTGTCATCAAGAGTATTGGCCTACCTAAGCAGACAAAGCTATATCATGAGACAATTGTAGGTCTTATACACCAGCGAGAAAACATAAACAGTCCACAACTACACGATGAGATGACTTTATAGCATTACCAACTCCTTTCAAAGAAGCTGCTAAAATGTACGTTAAACCTTGCAAATGTTGTCACTTCACACCGTTTTTGGGTCTAATAGTTTACACAATGAAGGCACTACTAGCTAATTTTTTTTCTTCTTGTTTTGGAAAGGAATAAAGGCACCAACTAATATAGTAAGGCAAATACTGATGCGCATTCACTATTTTCTGATACTGATGCGCATTCAACACCTACATTTAGTAAACCAAGCAGCAAGGCCACCTACATTTATTTAACCTATCGGCAAGCCAATGGGTTAAAATTCTCTGGATCATATAATCCATGGTATTGGCATACAAGAAACAAAACAGCTGCGCACCCATCTTCCTCATGCGTCTTCAACCGGTGAACCTTATTTAATGAGCCCAGCTATCCATAAATTCTGACTTTCTTCCACCTAAATTGCATTTAAATCTGTGGACCAACTCCACCTTAATAAATACCAATAAACAAATAGTAAACTCCCATCTACAGGGACCCATATGCTAGGCACCTAGACCTTCAGATTCCACTATATATATTGAACCAAGCAAAGTGAATGGGCAAGATTCTCCCCCACTAAATGCAAATCAAAATCAGTGTGAAATGCATGATGAAAGAGAGAGAGAGATATTATATGCACACAGAAATTCATGGTCCAATAACTGAAAGACACATCCACATCTTATGTCAAGAAAAGTTGTCTGTTATGGCAATTGGATAGTGAGCCTAGTGACATGGATGAAATGGAATAAACAAAGAGAAGAGACGTACGGGCAAAGGTGGATTGAAGGCAATGAGCTCGCTTTGGAGAACGCCAATGCTAACAGACAAAATCACGTAATTTGCTTCGTAGACGCAACCATCCTCCGTCATTACCGTAACGCCGTTTCTCGAGTGCTGCAACTCCCGAACAACCTGCCCCAAATCAAGCATGGAATCATCTTCATAAATGTATTAACAGTAAATAAAATAAAAATAAAAAAATCTGCCATAAAACAAAATCAACTTGTGAAGAGCCCAAGGCAACAACCTCATAAGATCCTGGGCAGTCAAACTAAGAAAAACTGTGCAATCTGAACTTCAGACCTATTTATCTCACAATGAATTTATAGTTTCTCGAAGGAGTTGAACACAACAGACCCCCCCCCCCCCCTCTTTCTCTTAGAAATTGCACTCATAATTACACTACAAGTATAATACAAATACAATAACTACAAAGTTTACTATTACAACTCAACAAATACGGAAGAATTTATCGACAACATTAAACTCATACATTATTCTTGTTTCTTATTTGGGAAAAGTAAAGACAACAAGCCCCATTAACTGGAGAAAAGCGACCACACCCCCTATTTTCATGATCTTATTTGAGCCGACTTGACATTTCAACTCAACGTTTATTGTTCATGGGTCATAAACTCAATAATGAACACTGTGCAGCGCAATGGAAACTCGCACTTTGGGCCCTACTAATTTATGAGTGATAAAATGAGCTTTCAAAAGGTCACAAGGATCATGGCTCTTCATGGTTGTACGATTGAAATCAGAAATTATTGTTACAGAGTCAAATGAATGGCACTCAAGATAAAAGAAAGAAAAGAAAAGAAAAGAAAAGTTGAGTCCCAGCTTTCGCATAAACACTTCAAAATATGTATCGAAGGTCAAAGAAGCCACAATATCATTCGTTACGAGAAAAAAAAACAAACGCAGTATTGGATATCATCATTGATGTCAGTAATAAAACTAAAGAAATAAAGTCTTCGGAAAACTTGATAGGAAAGTGGTAAGTAATGTCACATTGAAACAAAAGGCCAATGGAGTCTTTGGCCATTTAGCCTGTTAGCTTTTCTTTCGAAGATCATTATCTACCACTTTTATTATCTATTACTAATAAAAGAAAGTGTAAGCAAACAAAAGTAGAAAAACTTATATGAAACAGGATAACACTGTTTTATTATCTCCAGCCAATCATAGATTGTTAAGAGGAAAAATTATCGCGCCTAGCATGCCCTGATTAATCAGATATATCAAAATAGGGTTATCTCTATTTCAAACAAGTGTTTCTCAAACCAAAAAGAAATGGAAAAATCAGCTCCCTAATAAAAAGACGCCACCAAATGTTTTCTTGGAAACCTCAAAATTTGGTTCTCAGACGTGTTTATGAACTGCTCGACTTCACTATCAGAATGATGCAATAAAGATAACAAGATCCAATTCCGTATAAACCAAAACAAAATATTAGTTGACCCTTTAAAGAAAGAAGGTGTAATTTGCAATAGAATAATTATAGTTATTATATCATAAGAGGAAAAACAGCTTTCAGAAACGTCATTATCTGCAAACTCCAAAGCTGGGTCAATCAATCTCAACAGCAAAAAGGAAATCAGCGCGCAGAAACAAACAAAACAGAAAATCAGCTTTTTCACCTCACACTTTCTGTTCTTTTATCTGTAATTTTTTTACTCATATTCTGTCCCTATGATTGGGTAACTAAAAAACAAGCAAAAAGGAAGACACCTTTCCTTTGAAAAATTGTTAGAATAATAGTAAAATGATAATGAAATAAAACGAGGAGGATCAGATTCTTGTACCTTGTTGAACTTGAGACGATTGTCCAACAGTTTACCCTCGGAGGTGAAAAGAAAATCTCCAGCCATTTTGTATAGCAGATGCTCATACCCTCTTTCATCCGCCACTAAAAACTCTCGTTCTCCGAAGTCTTGGAATGTTGATATGGGCTCACCTTCTGCACACAAAACACATTTCTCCAATAATCAAAGTCAGAAAGTAATTCATTCAGAATTTAGGAACAAAATTTCATCTGGCATTCATTTTTGAACGACGACTAGAAAATCTCAGCAACCAAACAGAAAATTGACCGCGGAATGAGGTGTGAAAACTGACCTGGCATCTCAAAATCGTGCAGGATGAAATCAATAGCCAGCTCTATCGGCGTTTTTGGCGTACTAGAAAACAAAATTTATAAAAAAAAATACACAAACCGCGACTATAATTAGAAGAAAAAAAACAGAATCAAAACCCAAATTCCACAAAAGTAAAATAAAATAATTACGGATATCTACAAAACCAACACATTCAGGTAAATTTCGCGGAAAAAACCCAACAATAAAAAAAAAAACCAAATAGGGAAATAAAACTAAATATAAAATAGTAATAAGAAGAAGACAAAGCGATCGAGACATTATAATGAAAGAGAGAAGGAGACATACGAAGACGATTCGGCGGCTCTGGTGACGTCGCCACCACCATAGCAAGAGTCGGCTTCAGACTTCTTCAGCTTTTGCATCGCCGACTCCACGGCCTTCTTGTACGAGTCCGCGGCGATTCCACTCGGAAATATCTTCCCACTGTAGTACACAAACAAATTTTACTCGGCGAGTTATTTATATTGATAAAATGGTGCTAATTTACGCTGATGGAGCTAAAATGCAGCGCCAAAGCCCAAAGCAAGCAGTTCAACACCGGCGCATAATAGCAGCAAAACCAGAAAAATCTAAAGTGCGCTGTTAAGACCAAGTTGCCGAAACAAAACGCCCGCGGCGGAGTTTAAACGCGAACTCGTTCGTTCACCAACGGCGCAAAGTAGCAAACGAAGCATAAATAAATGCGAGGGGCAAGCCGTTACGGTTAGCGCAATGCGCAAACGGTGCACTTTATGCAAGGAATTCACTAAAATGAATGAAACCGAGTACGGACCTTTGATCGTAGATGTTGAAGCGAGCATTGCTGTAATCGGAGAAGAAAGTGCGGAGATTCGATTTCTGGGCAAGCTCCCAGACTGGGTTCGACTCTCTGCCTCCGACGCCGACTATCCAGCCGGCGCCGAGCTCCACCGACAAGCCTCCGAAATCTTGTTTTCGGATCCTGCCGCCGATACGGTCTGAAGCTTCCAGAATCACTACGTCCTCCACGCCGTTCTCGATCAAAACCTTCGCCGCCGATAAACCTTGAGAAAAAAGAGAGAGAAAATGATAAGGACGAGAGAGAAATGAGAGTCAAAGTAATCAAAATCGACGGTGGCGATGAATCTCACCGGAGACTCCGGCACCGATGATGATGACGGAGGAGCGAGAAGGGGACTCCATGAGAGAGAGAGAGAGAGAGAGAGAGAGAGAGAGAGAGAGAGGTTTGTGTTGTGTATTTGTGTATTGTTGGCTAGAGAAGCAGAAATAGCGGGAGTCGGTTTATATAGTTTTTTTTGTGGGGTGGGGGTCCGGGGATGGGATTCTTCAGGTAGAGACAGAGAGGAGAGAGATTTTGAGTTGTACACGAAGAAATGCGAGTACTTCTGTCTTTTCTATTTCCCTCTCTGGTTTGACGGGCATTGACGCGTCGACGCGGTAATCACTCACACGTTACGCACGTGATGTTAACTGTAAAACTTTTTCTAGTTGTACAATATATGAGGGTGTTTTCGTCTTTCAATAAACAAAGTTAGTATTGAGTAGCTTTTTTTTTTTTCACCCAACAAAATAAATTTTATTAAAGCCGAATAGATAAGTTTACATCATCTATACTATAGCCTCTTGTCACTCTTGTGCTTTGGTCTTTTTTTCTCTTTTTTTTAAAATCTTTTTTAAATTAATTTTTTTTGGGTATGCAATATCATTTCTTCTTTACATCAGGTATAGATATTTAAAAATATAAATAAATAAAACTGAAAAGAAAACAGTAAAAAAGAAAAGAAAAGAATATGGGTGAAATGGAGGGGGAGTAAAAAGAGGAATGTGGACAGAGTAGGGGAGTAACTTCCTCCATATAATTACTTAGGTGGAATTTATTTTTTATTTTATAATTGAGCAAATTAGCGTTTTATCATTTTACCCCTATTATATTAATTTGCAGTCTTTTAGCACTTTTGTTAATCAAGAGTATTTTTTGAATATTTTATCCTTTTGCTTTATAGATATAGATACATAAAAGTATAGGCAAAAAAATGATAAAATATTTAAAATGCTAGAAAAATGCCTTTAATGAAAGAAAAATATTTTAAAATGAACGTATTTATTAAATAAATATAATATAGTAAATTAACATATTCTATTTTTTTTGAAAAAATAACAAGCCAAAGACCAACATCTTCAAACATTCTCGATACCGTCTCTAATTCTTGATAGCTACAAAAGATCAGGGGCGGAGCCACACTAGGACCAGTGTGGTCCCGAGCCCCCACTCAAGTTTTTATATATTTTAAAGGTAATATATTGTTATGTATTTATATATGTATATTATTTCAAATACTTTACGTTTTGATATGTACCCACATGTGTTGTGGCGGATTTATTAAGGCACGATTACCTATTTGCTCAGTTGGTGGTGGTGCACTCCAGGTGTACAGATTACCTTATTTTCATTTTCAGCATTTAAGTAAATGTCTTTGTCCTTTTACTTTCATGTATTTTTATATTACTCCATTTACTTAAGTTTACAATGTAAATAAGGAAGTACCCCCTATTTAGATTCAAATAAAAATACTAGAAAATCAAATTCTCACCAAATCAAAATATGAAAAATCAGTATTAGTGCAAAATACGATCTAGGCTAAAAATGATGGCTCATTAAGTCAATGTATACTTTATACTAAAATCCCATAAAATCAAGTTTTCTTATTTGATGTGTAAGGAATAAAAGCTGCCAAAAATTATCTTGAGAAAATGATTATTTCGAAAAATTATTTTTCATACTTAGTCAATATTTTTACATAAAACATTTTTTTTTCATGTATATTATGAATGCATGAAGGGATCTAAGGTTTTTTTTAGTTTGTGAAATTTTGATTTTTTTTCTTTCTATTGGGTTTAATGGGGGAAAAAGCTTTAAAGATATTTGCTAAATCGCTACTCGTTATCTATCTCTTACAATTTTTCTTGCTTAAAATGTATTTGTCTAACCCTTTGTCGAGGACAATTATGATTGCAACCAATAAGCAATAATTCTTGACATATGTGATATATATATATATACTATTTTTCGTAAGTATTGTGAGTTCGAATTTTTGATTCTTTATAATTTGTAAGAGGCCCACACACATGAAATCCTGGCTTCGCCACTGCAAAAGATGCAACGGCATGTGCAGCCCTATTGCATTTGTATGTTGCAAACGAAAACACAATCGTTCCCAACTTTCGATAAATTAAGAAATAATAGTGGCGTAATTTATGAATGCGATTCCATTTGACAAAAGAAAAATAAATTTAGTTTAAAATAAAGAAAATTATGATAGGATATAAAATCGTTGTCATATCCATAGGATATTTAGTGAACACCTCATTATTTTTATTTTTCAATTATACATTTATAACAGGCCAATACACCCACACAAGGAATTGATACACCCACACAGGCCAATACACCTATTAAAGACAAATACACTATACTAATGACATGTTTATTAATCCGTAATCGGATGAGGAAGAGTTGAATTGAGGAGTCAAAATTCAGATTCAATTGAAGTTGTTTACTAAACTATCTGAGTTCAGGATTGAAAAAGTACTGATTCCTTATAAATTGTTTACTAAATTATCTTGAATTGGAATTGAAACCAGATTAATGACTAAAAGTTAATTGGTGCTTAAAAAGTGAGTTCAGTACGAGTATTATTGAGCAGGGCTTCTATTTTCAACCCAACTCGAATCAAACATGAAATTCACAAGTTAGGTTGACCATTATTTAACTGAATTAGTGAATGATAGGACAAGGTTACAAGAATAATAAATTAATGTCAAACATCAATAAGTTGATTCTATCACGACAAGCCAATAATTTAACAAATATTTGCAGGAAGGAAATTATTTAATTAATTATGATATGTTGTAGAACTGTAAGATTATTTCTCTTATTTTATTTAGTGGGGCCTAATCAACAATTTTGTAAACGTGAATTTTAAGCGCCCTCTCATCCATGAAAGCAAAACCAAAATCTAAACCCCTCTTCTCTAGAGAAAAAAAACTTGGCCGCATACAGTATTTTGGTGTTTGGGTGGGGAAGGTCACTCCTCCTCGTCCTCCTCCTTGTCTCTCTACTTTCATCTTCTCTCTCTTTCTTCATGGTGAAATCATCTTATCGTACGAATACACCGGATTATTTACCTCTATACTTGTGGAAGGATTTTTTTCCTAGCCGATTTCATGTTAGGCTTTTGTCTCTCTTGTGTATTGCAAGGTTTGTCTCACCCCTGGTTGTTCTAGGGTCTTCATACCAACCTTTTTGGTTGGATCTTTTGCAAATTTGTGTAAATCTATCTTTTTGGCCTATGATGTATTGACCTTGCAGTTTTGGGGTAGATGAGATGGATGTTCATTATATCTCTGTGTTGAGGGGTGGAGCTATTGATTTTGTAGATCTATTATCAATTGGTGTTTTGAGTTTAGGGGTGTTCGGGAAATGCTATGACCATGTGTCCTTATGGAAGTTGAGCAAGATTTTATTTTCCACTTCACCGGATGTAGTGGCTTTACAAATCCTCTTATGTCTTTCAATTCCTAGTGAGTTGAGTCTTCAAGATATAATATTATTTTTGCTTATTGTCTTGCTATAATTGTGTTTATTGTTTTTATCTTTCTAGTGTTTGCAGGAGCCCTTTGTGGGGCTATGCTCTTGTATTTTCCTTTCATTAATGAAATTGATGCAGGTATCAAAATTTAAAAAAAAAGCCCTCCCATCCATTGTATTTTTGTCTTTGATTGAAGTTAAAGAGTTTACATAACACTCAAATTTTGTAAAACTATTGCTTTAAAAATAATTTTTTTTATTTTATGAATATATTTTTGTCTTCCCCATTCATATTTATCATATCTCTCCATTTCTAACTATTTAAAAAAAAAAGAAAAAAAAAAGGAAATATGTTATGAGTTCAACCGGAATTTAGGATGAATAAGCATTAGAGAGCTTCAATTGAGGGGACATCCTTGTAGGGCTCACCATGTATTGTATTTCAATTATTTGAATTGTCTAGTTTTCAGATATTCCTTCAAAGATCCTTTTTTCAAAAAATCACTAGAATCCGAAAACATTTGACCTCTCAATTAGATTGTTGTTTTTATTTTTAAAGAAATGGAATTCATTCATAGAATCAAAGTAGTGTACATAGAACAACACGAAACAGTGACCTCATTAAAACCTTCCCGAGGGACAAATCTCATGGTAGGAAAGAGTATCACACATGTCATAAGCTAACAAGAGAGTCTGAAATAGTCACACAGGATCAATGCTAGAGCAAGATAAAATAAAACAGCAAACTGACACAAGATAGTGAACATCTGATAGCGAACACAATACACCAAGAAAAAAGAAAACAACCACTAAGCACACCATCTCTAGCCACCTCTAATAGCAATTGGCAATGAAAGAAGAGAAATCTATAAGGAGCAACACAAAGAAGAGACTAACCGCAAATAGGCTATAGGAAAGAAAATAAATAAATAAAAAGCCCCAAGCATGTCGTATCATCTCAACATTAACAAAGAAGCCTCCTATGAAAACATAGTCCTTAAGACAAGCGGAGAATCAAAGATCAGTTAAGGAGAGAACGAAGAAAACACCACGCAACAAAACAAAACTGGCATAGCCACTTAACCTGAACACGAAGATCAGGTATAAGAGCATTTGCTGGATGTCAATCCCATGAATGCTCCAAGAACATTTAAGGAAGGCATCCAAGAGACTCCACTGGGCCAGTCTCCATAAGTTTGTTAAGAAGGACACTAACATCACCCTGATTCGTAGTTTCCATCTTAGAGTAACTAGCCAAACCAGTAAAGATAGGTAAAAGGATGGTACCCAACAACCCTAGTTGCCAAAACCTTGGCCCAACATCGTGAAAAGAAGGATCAAAGCTATAGACCCTAGGTGAAGAGCCACCCATGCCAAATCTCTGGACAACGACTGTCTTCTCCTAAAGGTAAGGCTTAAGATCACAGATCGGACGACGAAGGGAGTATGAGGAAAGCAATCTCTACCGTGACTGCCGACCCCAACAAAGTAGCTTGCACCATGATCGTTGTTGACTTGAAGACTGTCGGCATAATAGCATGAGTTAACTCGCTGAAACCACCATACCAAGGCAATCACCAGAGACGTTAACGCACCAACGACGAAACCAATGCTCAAGGTATGAGAGAGACAACAATGAGGCTAGCACTCCAGAG